CCCTGCAGATATTTGAAATACTGGTCACATAGCCTCCAGCCCCACACCAACATGTAAGCCACCACGGCAGAACAAACTGACAGATGAGTAGTGGTTTCTATCATCAAGGCTGCATTTTCCAACTACTGATCCTTCTTTGTTTCTAACTTTCACATTCCAATAAACAAACAAAAAAAGTCACTGGCATCAAGTTGATTCTGACTCATAGTGAGCCCCATAGGGTTTTTGAGGCTGTAAATCTTTATGGAAGTAGATCGCCCCATCTTCCTCTTGTGGAGCAGCTGGTGGGTTTGAACTAATGACCTTCTGATTAGCAGCCAAGTGTTTTATCCACTACACCACTAGAACTCCTTATTCCAATCACCTGTAATTATCAATTTACCCTAACAGCATATTTGATTAGTTTCAGACTGCAGAAGTTGGTAAAAAATCTTCAATTTCTTCATCTGGGCATTAGTGGTTGGTGCATACATCTGAATAACAGTCCTATTAACTGCTTTTCCTTGTTGGCATATAGATATCATCCTATTACTGACAGTGTTGTAGCTATCTCAGGATACAATTTCAACTGTTCTTTGGACAATGAATGTCCATTCACCTTTAATTTGTCATTTCCAGCATAGGAGACCATATGATTTCTGATTCAAAATGCCCAAAACCAATTCACTTCAGCTCACTAATGCCTAGGAAATCTGTCTTTAAGTCTTCCATTTTACCTCTGCTGAAACCTGTCCACCGTGGGTGACCCTGTTGGCATCTGAAATACTAGGGCTTAGCTTCCAGCAATGCACAAGCCATCACAGTAAAACAAACTAACAAACGAGTGGTGGGAAGTTGACTTTCTTGTTATTGTTGTTGCTAGGTGCTGTCAAGTCAGCTTTCACTTATAGAGACCCTCAGTACAACAGAAGGAAACACGGCCCAATTGTCTGCCATGCTCACAACCTTGCTACACCTGAGCCCATTACTGCAGCCACTGTCAACCATCTTGTTCAGAGTCTTCCCCTTTTTCACCAACCCTCCCCTTTACCAAGCATGATATCCTTCTCCAGGGGAATGGTCCTTTCTGACAACATGACCAAAGTAGGTGAGACAAAGTCTGGCCATTTTCTCTTTCAAGGAGTTTTCCAGCTGTACTTCTTCCAGGATAGATTTGTTAGTTCTTCTGGCAGTCCATGGTACTTTTAGTATTCTTTACCAACACCACAACTCAAAACTATCAACTCTTCTTTGGTCTTCCTTATTCACTCCCATGCATATGAGGTGATTGGAAATACATTGCCTTGAGTTAAGCACATCTTAGTCTTCAATGTCTTTGTTCTTCAGCACTTCAAAGTGGTCTTTTGCAGCAGTTGCCCAGTGCAAATATTATTTATTTAGAAAAATATTGGTTTTTTGTCCTTCCTTTTAGTTATTAAATATGACAGAATATCTATTGTTTCTGAAACACTTGACCATTAAACCAAACCAACTCATGGCTGAGTCAGATCCAAATCACAGCAACCCCTCCTTGGGTTTCCAAGGTGGTATCACTATGGAAGTAGATTTCCCAACCTTCCTTCCGAGGAGTGGCTGGTGGGTTT